CCAGTCACCATGTGTTCTGTCTCTTTGTTTGTCTTTCCGAATCACATCTTGTGCTCCTGACTCACATGAGGATCTGTTACAGAGTGGGCAACAAGCACCAGGTGGCTGCAGTTTTATCTGCTATAAATAAATGCACATTTTTAAGACGAGCGTAAAGGACAGAGCAGTTACTCTCTTCAGCAATAATGAATGGCATTAACTAAGCCCTAATGTTGTTTGTTTTTTGTTGTTTATTCAGCAGTAAAATAATTCACATGGCATATCAGTCAATGGTAAAACTAATATGCGGCCAAGTTTCAGAAATTGTTTATGGAGTTAAAGTGCATAAAAATAGTTTGATATTATAATGGACTGCAGCAGAGTGTAGTGTAATGCTAGGAAGTGGTTGGTCAACTGTAAACACATTGGGTACTCACCTGGCAGGAACCTGAAGTTGGCCAGCATGCAGACAAACTCATATTGACCCACTGTTAGGCTTCTAGCTGATGTGAAGCACAGAACAGAAAAACAAGGCAGACACACACACACATAAATACACGCAGAGCTGCAAGCCAAGAGTAAAGCGACAGTGAGCTCCTGTACAGGCCCGAGCCAAGGCCTCCCTCATTGATCACAGCACAACTGTCTGATAAGCTACTTGCGCAACACAGTTGCAAGCATGCACTCACGCACACTCACAGAGTCATACAGTGCACACTCTTTCATCTCTTTCATTCTCTCCTTCCCATTCCTCTGAAAGCAGATGATTTCGAAATCATTAACAACAGACGTGGGGCGGGATAGATTGGCAGGCAGAGTATGAGGCCAAACCTGGATATCAGGTCCAACACATAACAGACACAAACCCCCTTCCCCCACACTCATACACAGATCTGTAGCACATACAGTAGGCATGATTTAACACACATGTGTAGTCAGTACACATGTGTGTATAGTCAACCAAATCCCTCTGACATTGACATGAAAGAACATTTAGTATTAGACTCCATGTCTAATAAAGTATGAATGTGACCTTAAACCTTGTAATCACACACAAGGCAACCTCTAACTGGCTATATAACCATTTTACAATGCATGGTTGGCCTTTTCCTTGTCTTTTTCTCATGAGGATATATATATTCATATCAAAACCAGTCTGCAGGGAACACACACCCACATACACACCAGGGTTCTCACTTCCCCCCTGTGCTTTGCAAACAGTGACTTATGCTGAGCGGGGATATCCAAGTGACACCACTATCAGGCATCAGGAAGTAAATAAGAAGTCAATTTCTGCTTTATCACCATCAGATGATGTACCGTAACAGACCCAGTGGCACATAGTTAGCACATACAAGTACACATTCAGACATATTTACAATACCCTGTGCTTGTTTAAATGTGATTGGAAGCACACATATGGTTATTTGTTACAGACTTTATTGTCAATATAGTTTGTTAATTTCACCCAGAAGTTAAATCTATGGATGCATTTTGGGTTTTTGGTGTTTATTTGGCTGTTGGGGATTTCATACAAAGTTTGGCAGTTTGTACATGTTTCTAACATTTAAACCCCCTTTGGGAAATGAATACATGATCAGTTTCTACTGTTGTATTTTAGTTTACCTACTATGTTTTTGCACTAGCTTTATGATCAGTCAATAATTTATTTGAATATTTTAGTTAGTATTTTACTGATTCTTTATAATATACTAGATTTAATATGTGCTTGCACTATTTTTAGCAGCACACTATTTTATGAGTCTTCTATTTCCTAATAATTTTTTAAAGGTTTCCTGGTAAGATACATATAATTTGGTACCATTTGCAAAAAACATAAAAATAAAAAAAATAAAGACACAGTTATGAGACTATTATTTTAGCTCAGTTAGTAGTGTAGCATTTATAATGTACTTTTAGATGAATTTTTATGGGAAATATAAACCCCAGTGGAAACTTTATTCTTCATTCTTCTGGATTGAATGTTTATATGTAGACATATTTCACATTTTGCATGCATAGCTCACCTGCTATCCTCTAAATAAATGACTCGCGGTTTGTTTAGTATTTACACTGACCACTCGCTGTTTTACACAGAAGTAGTACAAAATGATATGATTCTTATCAGGAAACATCTGAGGAGATCATTTGAAAATAAAATGGAATTTAGGAAACCTGTAAAATAATTTTGTGTTGCCCCCCCCCCGTCCATAAAAGTATCTTTTTGTTATTCCTCTCAACTCTGGTTGGTCCAGGCTGAGAGTAGTAGGAACCAACCACCTTAGTGATAATGTGTTTGTGCTCTGCTTCACTCAGAACATCGCTCTGTTATATTAGATGTGCAGGGAGCTATCAGTGCAGAGTGCAGCTCTTTTGTCTGATTAGCACACATGCATAATGCTGTTGGTGAAAGGAAGAGAGACACTTTTCCTCCTATGTACACATAAACACATGTAACAGTGTTTGCTGGTGTGAAATCCAGGGAATGTTGCAGGGTTCAGAGTTCTTAAAACACACAGTGGGTCTGCGAGAGTAACCTCAGAGTGTGACACACACGCACACACACACACACACATGTAAGGAAACATACACACGCCATGGCAGCACTGTCAGTGAGTCAGTGTGTGAGTCACACTCTGGCTATGCTGCCTCTCAATTTTATAACAGCCGCCAGCACGGCACTGTATTTAATATTCCAAACAACTGCACTGGATGACTTTGTGGCACACACACACAAATATTCACATATGTAAGCACTTTATGTCCATAAACATAATTCACACACACACATGCACAAGCATAACATATTTTGTGGCCGCGTATACAGATAGCACACTTTGATTCCTTTTCTCATTCATTCAAACATACAACACACACACCCACACACACACACAGATGCACACTTGTGACTGAAGATGACTGCTGATGAGTCAGACAGGCAGAGGAGGGAATCCTTACTTCTTTGTGTGTGACATCTATAGGAGAGCCAGTCATACAGATACTGACTCCATTACATTGCTCCCCTATACATACATTCTTACAGGAGAATGCAGGTCAACTTTAGGAGGAGGAAAATATGGACATAGAATATCAAATCAGGACATGGTCCTAAATGTGTGTCAGCCTCAGATGTGGGATATTGAATCCCCACCTATCTCACAGTGGCAAAGCTGATACAAAACATTGGCTGTGACTAGCACTCATATGATGGATGCCAAGTACGGATCAACTAAACTATTTTGGAAACCCTCAGTTGGTCAGTTTGTGGCATTATTGTTTGCAAACGCTGCAGTCTCATAAGGCTGGAGACTCAGTCAATTATTACATTCTAAAAATACATTACATATCTGGATGTTTTTGTCTTGCAGTTCAAAGCTCAGTTTAGCAGCTTCCAAAAATGCAATTAGTCTGTTTCTCATGAGAGATAACCGATAAGAGGCGACGCACACATACTGCAGATACCCAGAGACTGAAAAGAACACAATGTCTCCATATCACTGTTTCCCAAATTAAACACTCCTGGTAAGAAAACCATTATACATCGCCCTCTGGTGGTAGCTGGGGGGAAGTGAATAACCTCTAGAACTGTTGCACAGAAATGTTTTCACAGTCTCAGGAAAAAAGCATGATTCATTTGTTATTTATATTGTGGAGGCTCTATGTGCCAAAGGTTACATTTATTGGTGAGGGTCAAAGACAAACCCGTATTTAGGAAAACATTTTAGTTTGATGTTCAAAGAAGAAAACTCTGTGGCACAGGACTTCGATGTAAGCTCGGTGGCATGTGGCTCAAGGGAAAGTACTGCAAAAGCAGCTGCATGAGGCTGATGTGTGCTGTCGGTGTTTAACTTGACAGGAGTGGCATGATGCCTATGGGCACTGAGTCAGAGTCAACGATAAGGACCTGGGGTTCCAACTGACCTCTCCCAAATGTATCCCCCCCCCCATACTCCTCCTTTCTCTTCACATCTGGTTTCTTGCAAGGGTATCCCTGTTTGTTTTTTAGCCTCTGGTTTTACAGTCAGTGAGTCACAACCACCTCTCACCTCAATTTGTACCTTTGACTCTTAGCTAACATGAAGATCAGGCTTTCTTTTACCACTTGTCTGTCAGTGTCTTTCTTTGTGATTCTTTCTCTTTTTTTTTCCTCACTGGTCACTGTTCTTTCATCTCCTCCGTGATCAGGGAGTGGAGCCTTTAGGTTTATCTGCAGTCGGAAGAACTCTCTGACTCACTCGTTCACACAAACACATACTTGATGACTCATCGCAACACAAGCTATTCAGTACACCAAAGTCAAACTGGTACATTAGTGTGTTAGCGTGACTGTTTGCATACATATTCACCTTTATGTCCATTAAGGTGCTGTGCAGACACACCACCTACACAGCTTTTATCTCTCAGTCACTGAGATTATCACTGTTGCTGTAAAGGAGGTTTTGGTAGCCCTCATATTTGTTATAAATATTTAAAATCTTGCTGCTCCATGAATTAGATTTGTGCATGTGTATAAATATGCGTATATTGTCTCTTGGTCAAACAGATAATCTTATAAACCTGTAATATGTTTGTTTGTGTGTAAAAGTTCAGGCACCAAAAAAGGTTCACCATGGCAAGGGCAGCTGAGGAATAATAAATCTGTTAAGTGACTCATGCAAGACGGACAGGAGCGTTCAGTCGACACAGTGGCTGTGACAGACAACACATACTGTAACGCACATGCACATAATTGGTTTCATAATATGTTCATACAGACGCACCCCCAGTTGCACGCATGCACACTTATACTGTATATATCCTGAGAAACACAGTGCTGCAAAATGTCCCAGGCTTAATTTGTACCATATCTGAATGTCTGTGGAAGAGATTAGTCATTTTCAAAAAAAAAACTTTTATTCTGATTCATACTCCGAACAATTTTTAAACAATCAGCCACTCTGCTGTCATTTTTATGCAAAGTGACTGACGGTACAACATGCACTTATTATAGAATATCAATTCACTGGAGCAGCGTGAAATGTAAAAATAGATTTTTTAAAAATGCATACAAGTGACCATATAATGCACATTTTGGTATTGTGTGAGATATAAAAATGTGGCTAAGACAAAAATTGGCTGCAATTTCAAAGACAAACGGTAGTAAAGAACAACATGTTCTCTTACAAAGCACCACAACACTACAGCACAGCATCACTACAATACTTCTCAGACCACCTGTGTGTAAGGTGATTTTGGCAATGACAGCTTTTCCTTTACAGATATTACACCTTTTCTTTCCATACACAAAAACACTAAATAAGTCGATTTAAAAGAATTTAATTTCCATCATCTGTGTCCTCTTCATCCTCATCATCCTCCTCCTCTTCAGAGTCATCTTCATCTTCATCCTCTTTCTCCTTCTCTTTTTTTGTCTGCCGACTGCAAGCTGTTTGTTGCTGTGACAACAAATAAACAGTCACTAGGCATAAACACTCAGCAGGTAGTTGTTAAAGACAATTAGTTCTTTTGCAGAATCGGTTTCTTTCCTGAACACGTGACTTGCGGTTAACACAGAAAAAACAGGTACAGGTGTGAACACGGCCAAAGATGCACCGACAACAAATACCTCACGTTCATGCCATGTAGTTTAATTCACTCTGCTAATCTACTTTTCTATACTTGTGTACCTGACAACAAGTGTGTTTTTTGTTCACTAGCAATTGCAGTTTTTCAGTGATAAAATCAATCCTAATTATAGAAGTATAGTATGATGTCAAGATGTGATGTGAGATACATTTGAGGCACATTCTGATGATAGGTGTGAACAGCAATCTGCCTCTGTGATCTGATGACACCCTGTGAGTTCTACAGAAGTGCAGTACTCCTGCTAAGATGCTGGGGCAACACTGTGAATGTAGGAGGAAATGCATGACATTACTGGCAAGCTGTAGCATGTAGGAATTCAAAATGCAAGATGGCTGGGGTGATGCAGTGCATAAGCATAGGCACAACAGATAAGGCTCAGTTATCGAGCACTAGTCTCTACTGGTATGAGAAAAACTACTGCGTTTAACAAAGGAAGAAGGGATTTTTTTTTTACTTCATCACCACAATAAATCTTGGGACAGTCAGAGTCGGACAATTAAAGGAATGCCATAAGAAATGTAGCCATAGAAGAATCTTCTGGGGAAATTCGAGTTTTGTGTCAGAGCATCTATGTGCTGCCTGTATCTTACCTGTAAGGTCCCTGATGAACTCGGGAAGGACCCGGTCAGATCGAGGGAGGTTTTGGAATTAGCTTGCACTATGTCTAAGCGTGACTGGTAGTCAGGGGGGTGCAGCAAGCTCCTGAACACCTGCCAAAGACAGTAGGAGGTGATATACTTTTCCACAGAGACACAGGAGAATGCAAGCAGTGCTTACATGCACTCATCAGTAATTTTAATGTGCGCACAGAATATACGTAATAAGGATCTATAACTAATTAATATATACTATTTTATAAGACAGATATATACACTACAGTAGAAGTAAAAAAAATAACCCATAAAAAATACTGTACAATTTTGAATGTCCAGGAAATCAACAACTAGGATGGCAATCTGCTTTTGTCACACACACAAACAAAGCGGCTCACAAGGTATGACTGTGATAGCACAGCAACCTGTTATTTAAACCACACCAGTGGTTTTCATTGTATAGAAAATGAATTCCGCAAAGGCTCTTGATCAGGATTATCTTCATGCCTGTCATTGTGACGTTCAGATGATTCAATCTCCCATGCTTTGTATTGTGAGTCACTGAAAAACAGCCTTGTCTGGGTGAGAAGTTTCACTTCAATATGAACGGAAGGCAGATGATTCAGTGCAAAAAACACATAGATGAGATGGCAAGGGGTGGGGGGAAATAGAGCAAGGGCATCTGCAGGGGGAACCTTGCTCGCTGAAAATCAGTGATCGTTGGTTTTCTCACTACAAGCTTTATCTCTTTAAATAGTTTGATAAAACTTCTGAAGTCAAACTGTAAACAGTAGAAAGTGGCTAGCATAACTGCGAATTGTGCAGTATTAGTCACCACAGATTACTTCAAAGTTACCACACCAGTTGAAGGGTGTGGACCGTAGAGTATGAGCAATGATTTGATGAGTATTGGATGCGTAAGAACATGATAGCTTACAGCTAAATACAGCATAACTGTCAGGTCGCAGGTCAAGTGCACAACTGATGGCGTACGTAGCAATTTATCAACATCAGTCACACCCCAATGATTCTGTCAGGTCAAAACTTCACAACACACTCTACAAACTCTAAACACAATAACGCTGGAAGGATAAGAACACATAGGACATGGTTACCCCTGAGCAGTGCATCAGCCTACCTCCAGGTCCTCCTCCTCATCCACACTTTGAATGCTCTGGTAGGCCAAGGTGTATATCTCCAATGCCTTGGCATGGAATGACATCTCCACTGTCATAAACTCTCCAAAGATCTTCTACAAGGTCAAGGATGAAAACAATATTTAGGCAATGAATAGAATTTAGCAGTATTTAAATGAATCACAACTGCCTGGGGGGATACAAGATATTGAAAAGAGTTCTGAAATGACAAAACAGTAGGAGGATTAAGAAAAAAGCCCCACAAAATCATTACTGACTGTGTTCACTCCAGTGTCACCCTCTGAAACTAGTTTTAAATTTAAGGTGGACAGAGAGCTCAGCGCAGCAGACCTTGATGTCCTGGATCTTCTGCTTCTCAAACTCGTCTATGGTCTCTTCCAGCTGCCTGGTCGTCCGTGCGGCATCGATGGTGGCTCTCTGGAGCTCACTTTCAGCCTGATGGCAAAAAAAAGAAACATCAAACTAATGAGGCAGGTTAATGTATGTGTGTATAAACCTCTAAATCCAACATCCAACAGTATCCTTTTGTGCTGATTTTATTAACTGACTATTTGATAACTAGGCTAATTTGTATTTGGTAAGACACAAAACTACTAAAAAAGTATTACTGATGTGAAGCACCTGAAAAAAGCAAACGGCAGACCTGTAGGTCCAGTCCAACCTGAACCACCTATCGCAAAAAAGCCTTCAGATATTGACATGCTAATATGCTCCTTCTACAGCGTGGAATAGTAAAAGCTTCTGCAATTTAAAACACTGACTACACACAGAGAGAAAACAGGAGCTATATAAACTTTCTGTACACTAGGTGCTACAGTGGGTACAGAAAGTATTCAGACCCCCTTAAATTTTTCACTCTTTGTTATATTGCAGCCATATGCTAAAATCATTTAAGTAGCATCATGCTATGGGGGTGTTTTTCAGCTGCAGGGACAGGACGACTGGTTGCAATCGAGGGAAGGATGAATGCGGCCAAGTACAGGGATATCCTGGACGAAAACCTTCTCCAGAGTGCTCAGGACCTCAGACTGGGCTGAAGGTTCACCTTCCAACAAGACAATGGCCCTAAGCACACAGCTAAAATAACGAAGGAGTGGCTTCACAACAACTCCGTGACTGTTCTTGAATGGCCCAGCCAGAGCCCTGATTTAAACCCAATTGAGCATCTCTGGAGAGACCTGAAAATGGCTGTCCACCAATGTTTACCATCCAACCTGACAGAACTGGAGAGGATCTGCAAGGAGGAATGGCAGAGTATCCCCAAATGCAGGTGTGAAAAACTTGTTGCATCATTCCCAAAAAGACTCATGGCTGTATTAGCTCAACAGGGTGCTTCTACTAAATACTGAGCAAAGGGTCTGAATACTTATGACCATGTGATATTTCAGTTTTTCTTTTTTAATAAATCTGCAAAAATGTCAAAAATTCTGTGTTTTTCTGTCAATATGGGGTGCTGTGTGTACATTAATGAGGAAAAAAATGAACTTAAATGGTTTTAGCATATGGCTGCAATATAACAAAGAGTGAAACATTTAAGGGGGTCTGAATACTTTCCGTACCCACTGTATATGTTGACGTATTATGGGGGGGGGGATCTGTAGTTGACACCCCATTTGACATCTGTGCATTCATTGAACAGTGGCTAAAACACATTTACAACAGATGGTTTTCTGTTGTTGTTGCATCAACAATTCAAAGTAATTTTGAAGTAAGGGTCATTTTTGTGACCCTACATCATCCCCATGATGAGATGCAGAGATTACAGGGGACACACCTGAGACTGAAGGCTTGGTCAAGGAAATAGCATCAAAATATCAGCCTGCTGTCTGTGTTTATTCTACTAAGTGTATCCCGAATATTGACTGTATGTGTATATACAGTAAATTAGAAGGACGAGCTGATAGGTCCCAGAAGTGAAGCCACTGCAAATCAGCCCCTGGTGCCTGGTTGCAGTGTGGGACATAAATCCCATCTCCATGTTAGTGAATTGTTATTGGAAACTTAAAAACTCAAAATACAAATGAATTATTTTTTTCCAGAGGTGATTTCTGTGGTTTTTGGTATTTATCATCACACTGATATGTGTACAAATGGTCATTTTTCTCATAAGTTTGTTTTTAAGAAGTTATTTGAATATATAAAAAGGGATGTATTTCAGTTGACTTGACAGCTTTGATTGGCAGTCTTATGCCATCACTTCACATCTGGCCGCTACTGCGCAGAATCTGGTTATAAAAAAGCAAGATGGCAGCCACTGTACTTTGGTTTCACTTTTGCATAGTGGAGGGAAGTGGTAACGCCACATCCATCATATACACTCAGCGATCCTGATTTACAAACTGAATACAAACTGTAACTGCATGAAGTGGATGGAAAGATGCTGTGAAGTAAACCTTTATGAACTTGACAAGACAAATATTCAAAATGAATGGAAAAAGTTTGTTTTCTTATTGCAACATACAGTAGTTTCAATAACTAACAAGGAATGAAGCTGTACCCAGTATGCCACTTATATTAATATTTGTCCAGTCAATATTACAGAGCACAAAAGAGAAACGGGGTGAGGATACAATGATCTGCCTGTCTGAAGGGTTTCTCTGTCTGGTCCTCTCAAGCTGAGCCATCTGTTTGGCTTCTCTCTCTCTGGCACTCTGAGTTGTCTTTAGATCATCCTGCATGAGCACACAAGGACATGGCAGTTATTATGTGAATTTAAAAATGACAGTGAGTCAGTTATTTAGAATTTGACTCAAGATTTAAATACTAAGGACATAATCTAACAAAACTTTTGTTTAAGGTCAGCATTAAATCCTCCAGTGCCCTCTGTTGTGCATGTGTTTGTGTTATCTTACTCTAAAAGAGCTGATGATGTTAAAGGAACAAGCCAAATTGTATTCTGTTTCAGCTTTATCAGAAAAAGGAAAAATAGCAAAGCTCACTTTTTTCATTACTATAACTTTATATATTTAGTCAGACTTGCATTTTGCAGACAGTGTAGCTCTGTCTGCACAACAAATGACCAATCACAGCCCTTATCAGAGTGGACTGATTCATTTAGCACTCAGTGAAAAGCAAGCTAAGAAATGTCACATGAATCTTTTGCACCTATTTAAAATCTAAATAACCTGCAGTCTGAAAGTATTTTATTTATTTCACTATTTTATTTTACATGAACAGCTCAAAGTACAAGTGCAGAATCAGAATTGAATGTTCTGGATGAACAAGGCAGACACTTTGTATGCACTGTATGAGACAGACAGCATATGCCACAAAGAGAGGTTTTGGGGGGGCATTAGCATTGAGGATGGTTTCTGAAGCAATGGGACACCATCATTAAATCAATACTGCCCTCTTGTTGCCACACAGTGGATATGCCTATGACAGCAACGCCACCTGTGGGGCACTCGACCATGTTGTTTACATTTTACATAGGTGGCAGCTGCCAAAGCATTTACTGCATAATAATCTTTAAACTCCATGAATTAGAAGACAGACAAGATGCGCCAAATCTCTCATACATGACAGAGACGTTCATATATTTGAACATTTTAGCATCAGTATCTTTTACAGTAAAATAATTCTAGAACAATTTTGTCATTGAGAAGTCACTGTACTAATTTTACAGTAATTGTAACTGGAACATGGATTAATCTTTGTTTTTCTGATTTGCCTTACTTGGAGTCAGCGTACAAGTTAACATGGCTGCGGCTCACAATAACACTTACCCTTTTACGTTTTACTACAGCTCCATAGCTTTTCAGTGGCTCTATGACTCTGGCCTCAAGTCTTTCCACCTGCAAAGCAGATAACTTCACATTGTCTTATCAAAAAAAAAAAATTAGGCTGTGGCTGTAAAACATTAAGTCATGATTGGAATCAAAGCAGCAGGAAGTCAGTTACTGCAGTTTTTAGACTTTTTTTATTTATTTTTTTTAACACACCTTGACAGTCACAAGCCAACATAAACAAACAAATAAAATAATGTATATTAAATAAAGACACATGCATCTAGACATCCCTGATGTGCGTTGCATTTTTACATTTTTGAAACAAAAAAAGCATTTTTGTTCTTATATTCTTTGGTGCCTGTCTGATTCTGCCTATATTTGACATGGCTTGTGTAAGTGTGGTGCCCATCTCTCCATAAACATCTTTGCTTTTAAATGAGGCCCTGCTGTAATCTTCTCCATGGTGCACACTACCCAGCTCATTCTCTCCAGTGAGGGCTGTGGCTGTAACTGACTGTGATCATTCTCTTTGCTACAAGCAAAGTAAAGTCTTTACTAGGTACCTCATAATTTTCTGATATATTCCACCAAGCCACACCCTCCAAAATAGAACAGATGAATGACTGTACTATAAGTGGAGTTATCTCATCTTGACCTTCCAATCAAATTCCCTCCTCTTTGTTAGTCTGTGCCTGGTTTCATACGTTTTATCCAATAATAGTATTCATTTCTAATTCTCTTTTTTTCTTCGATACCCAAACTATTGTCCACTGACCTGAAGAGCTTTATATATGCATTTTTATACAATTCCATTTTTTAACCCTGTCTTTGTCAAGTGTTATTACTTTTCCAATTCTGATAAAGGTTTACAAATATTTTCCCATTCTTTATGGTTTTGAAGATAATGTCTCTATTGTAGGGACTTTTAAAAGTCATGGTTAGCTACTGTTAAATTCCTCAGAAAGTTAGTGAAACGATGTTTTATCCTTCAAAATTCTGCTCTGTATACTGTAGATCAGCCTCTTAAACCTGAAAAAATTTTGGATGCTAAGTCTGGATTTGATGCTATTTCAGTAATCAATTGCTGTAGTGTTACCTGAGCATGGCGGTAGTCTTGAACCTTGGCCAGGTGGTCAGCAAACTGCTTCATACCAATTTTTAGGTTCGGGGTTTCTGTGTCTGCATACCACCCAATTTCTCGAACCAGAAGATCGGCTTTGTCTCGTAGCCTGGCTGTTTTACGGACATAGGCAGCAAATAATTGGCACATCTCTCCAAAATGCTTCTCCACATTGGTGATGTTTTCCTGGATCTTTCTTATCTGGTTGTCCCTGGACAGGGTGAAGGACAACATTAACAGCTGTAATCAAATACAGTAGTAGTTTAGTTGAGTGTAGGACCCCTAACTGCATTTCAAGTCAACTCAAAGTCAAGTTAGTGTTTATTGTCATATGCACAGTAAGGAAACATGTTTCCCTGCACAATGTCATTCTTCCTTTGCTTTCCACAATGAATGCCAAACAATATAAAGTCTAAATGTAAAACAGATAAGTAATAATACAAAATAAAGGCACTTAAAAAAAACAGCAAGTGAAAAATATAATAAGAATATACAGTATGCTACATCAGCTGTAGGTGCAACAGTGGGCAATGAATTGGTTTCTCATACTGTATCAGTGCGGGTTCTTATAACATTTCTAGCTTGATGTATACAATGATGTATACCAGTATGGATTTCCTACCTCCATCTATGCGTAACGGGAAACTAATAATTAACGGTAATGACCAAAACATGTCTACAGTGTTCTGATTTTCTTATATTCCATAATCCAAGCATATTATTTCATCCCAGTTGATGATGACACAAACACTTAGCCAGATAAGTGCAGTAAAACCTACAGTATTAATTTATTAACAGCTAGATGGGCGTTAGCACGTCCACGTTGTGGCTGATGAAGACATAATTATCATGGTAATTGGTGTAACAGTCAGCTAGCGCTAACCAACTTTTTAAAATCATCGCTTTCATTAAAGCTAATGTTAAGTCAGAGAGCACCGCTTTCATCCAACTAAAAGAGGATTTATCTCACTTTCGGTTACCCCTTACCTTGTTCTCGCATCGGGCGCGCGAAGCATCTTGGCAGAGAGGCAGTAAATAAATGGCACCGCGTATCAGCGTACATCCAGTTGTACTGAAATCCAGATTTAGTTAGGCTTAGCTGACGCTAAATATGTTCTCTCTCTCTCCACCAGCCTAGCACGCGAGTCTGTCGTTTCCATGGAGCTCCATGGTACTTCCGCTTGAGGAATGCATGCTGGGAAACTGAGTCATTTGCTGACCCTGTAGCTGTTCACAGTGAGGTCACTTATAGCAGGAGATGGGGATTCTTTACAGCGACTGTTGTAATTGGAGTCCCAGTCCCAGTCAAGTTCAGTCCCAAAAATCATTCCTTCCAGACATTTGTTTAATTTGACTTTTTTGTCAGAGTGCACATTCATCATCTTGGATAAGCAGCGACGGGCAGATCACCAGTATAGAAGAGGAGCAGCGCACGGTGGGAGATGTCAACATGTTCCTGAGTGACCCAATATATAAATATCTACAGCTTATGCTGTGGTTTGTACATCTCAGTCATTTCCTGTGTATATCTCTTTATATCTGGACACTATATTCCCCTTGATCTTCCCATCTTTCAGAAGGTTTCAAGACAGAAGCTTAAAGTCACTGTGTAGAAGTTGAAAATTTCCACACCTCTTTCTGCAATTCAGTCTTGTGCTGTGTTCATCATTAGTTGGAGAATCAACCTGTGGTGGAGCAGGAAAATTAATAATTGCAAAATCACCACAAGACAGATCTATGGGTTTTTTAAGCCGACTTGCAGAAAAAACAAATTTTAAATAGTATTTTTTTATGTGTTTGTCAGGAAAAGTAGACTGCTCTTAACATTCAGTACTATCCTATGTTGACTAAAAATGGGACAGATACATCACACAGTTCTGATTCCTTAGATGTAATCTACATTTGACAACATGTGATAAACTCTGTTGCTAGACTTGCCAAAGCGGCTGAAAACTGTAAATCCTTGCATGTATTTCTCTACAGTATTTATTTGAAACCCCTCTTTATTCATACGAAATGTTAGTGGTGGCACACATCATTACACCAGTCTTAACAAGTTTGATCCATTACTGCCTGCTAGTCAAATGAGGAGTACTGAGGTTTAGTTTGAATCACATCTGAATCTTATTGGGCTGTCACTGTCCAATCACAGAGCAGAGTCAAATTGTCCAGTCAGGTGGTAGCTGGGTTCTTCAAGTTCTGTAAGTTTGGTTGTAGTGGGGATTCAAGATGGTCACACTGGCAGTTGAAAATAGTAGAAAATCACAGTAAATATTTCATGTGTTGCGTTCTGTATGTTGGCAGCGTGCAGGTGCTTCACTGTTAACACAGTTGTCCAGATTTATGTTTTCCAGGTGGGATAATTTATTTAGCCTTAGCCGTCCAATACTCTTTTGCTTTGCTTGAGCCTGTCAATTGTCAGGCTAATTGTGAAACCTGCTCAATCTAGGAGAAATCTTTTAGAGCTGACTTGTAGTTTATTCCTGTTGGATGTGTAGTCTTGTAGATGAAAGAACCCCTCTCGGTTTACATATCCCATTAATGTAAAAGTATTTTATATTTATATTAATCGTGCAGCTCAATAAAAAACACCGGCTAGTTTAGATCTCACCGGGGCTTCATCAGCACGGAAACCTAACTAATTGTTGGCACCTGTATGTTTCCACCCTGACGAAGACCCAGTGAGGTCAAAACCAGTCGGCGTCTTTTTACTGAGATGCCCTGTTACAGGTAAGAAAGAGTGCTACAGCCAAAATGTTGCTTAAGTAATAGTACAAAGGCATTAGCAGCAAAATATACCTAAATTACCAAAAGTAAAAGTAGTCACTGTGCAGAATAATAATAGAATGCATTTCACATAGATGCATATTTGATTATAATTTCTGGTGCATTATTGTGCTCATCATTTTAATGTTGTAGCTGGTAAAGGTAGGGATAATTTTAACTGTTAAAATATGAACTTCTGGTGAGTAGCTTGTAAATTTATCACCAGAGATTACTGAAGTCTCATGATTATGCTTATGCTGTTTCCTTTTTATTCATCTAATTCTGAAAAGAAACTATAAACTCAAGTTATCAAATAAATCTAGTGGAGTAAGAAGGTATGGTAAGATATGAAGCAGAAACTAAAAATAAATTCAGATGCCTCAATTGCACTTATGTACAGTGCTTTTTTCCAACACAGTTTGATGCTCTTACTACATCTCTTATTATATTCCTATATATTTTTATTACATCTCTGCATTTGCTGCTTAAAGTGCCTTAGATTTTGTGTTACTTATTCATCTACTTTATATTTCATTTGTATTGTGTGGCATTCATGTGGATGGCAAAGTAAGAATTTCATTGTACAGGGATACACGTGTCCTAACTGGGCATATGACAAATAAACACTTTGACCCTTTGACCCTTAATGTATCTAGTAAGCATAGGCTAGGAAAATTAAGGAAAGATCAGGTGAGTAGGGGAGGAGAGGTTCAGAAATATGAATCGATTAGAGAAAACAGTTGTCAGTAAAACTCCCACTTAGCCTCAAAGTGAGAACCTGAATAAAGAATGCAATAGCCATTTCATGAATCTTATTTGTGTAAAATGTGCATTTAGTAAAAGCTGTTGACTTTTCCTGCATGTTTATTTTGTACAGGTTTCTGTCTTTCTGTGATCAGAGTAATTGTTATAACTAGGACAGACATTATTGGACTAACTCTCCCCACGTATCTTTCAACAGGCCACAGAACGCACAGACAAGAATATGGGACTTGCACAGCGTAAATAGTCTCGGGCGTGTCGTGAGGAGGACCGACAGCATTCCGGGCCCCTGTCACTCCTACATATGGACACCAACTGCAAGTTGATGAGGTGAGAAACAAAGTTGTGGTGGTTCAAGTGAGAGTACTAGACTAGCACTGATAGGTTCAGGTCAGACTGTAATTTCTCAGCTCTTTTTTCCTGACAAACTAGAAGTGTTTGAGCAACTTTTGATATAAATTGTAATGAAAATTCTCAAAACTAACATGGAGCACAATGTAACTGCATGCAACATTTCATTCTTTGTTACAATGACCCTTTTTTTCCCCTGACAAACTTCCCTAGTTTGATATATGGTGTTTTAAGACAGCTGAAAGGTGTGCATATTAGTGTCTTTATAAGTACTTTCACTCTGCATTTGTGTCGACCACGTTTGTACACAGGGTCAGAATGAACTGTAGTGTAACAGGTTCATTACTGTATGATAATGAAGCTTTGTTGTTGTGCCTTAAATCAAAGGATCAGAGCCTGTATTGCTTTAGTAAAAACTGTCTTCTATCTGTAATGTTTATGGCAAACAGAATTTCTTAAATTCACTGTGAATAAACGTGTTTGGTGGAATTGGCTGATTGAGTTAACTCTGTTGTCACAGGTTCTGATCCTCCAAATGGCCAGAAGCAAGGCTGCTGTGGCTCTGGAGTTCTTCCTTGATGCTTCAAAGGACCAAAACACTATCTCCCACACAGAGTACCCTTTTTTTTAACATGGTGCTGAAGTTTTGGGTCAAGATGGAGTACAGCGAGAAACTCAGACCTGATGGTCTGAGTGTAACGTTAGAGTTTTGTTAACGCTACACGCTAACATTAAATTCTCACTAACGCTAGATAAAGTAACCTACATGAACTCGAAATTATATATTTACTCAACTGCTTTACCTCAGAATAACAGCTAAGCATCTGCATATACACAGAACACTACACATTAAAATTTAATTGCAAAGATCTACAGTAGGTCAACCTCCTCATCAGTGAACCGTGGGCGTCCACGACCCTGCCACCCCTTTACTATCTGTCCTTCCTTAGGTGCTGTTAGCTTGCTGCCTTATATACTCCACCCACTGACAGGTGGATGTAACGAGCTCATCAGTGTGATTCACTTCACCTGTCAGTGGTAACAATGTTATGTCTGATCGGTGTCAATAGTCAGAATTCCTACTGGTAACGTGAGTTGTACTGCACTTTGCTGCATTCTGTCTGTATTATTTTCCTACCAACATACATAGTTTTTTGCCATCTAGGCTACAATAGTAATGAGACATAAAAAGGCATTATGAAATAAAAACTGACTTTGGAAAAACAGCACTTTGAAATAATAATGTCCATAATCACAATAAAAATAACCCCTAAAAACTCTAAGAATGATGAAATATCATTTCAAAATAATGACCTAAGTTTTAATATTCTTGAATTCATTCATTTTCTACCGCTCAGTCCCTGAACGGGGTCACGGGGATATTCTTGAATGATTTCACAAATTGTCTGTGCAAGTACGTATATATTACACACAATGTATTCATATGATTATTAATTATTAGGAGAGGGTCAGACCCCATTTTTACCACATTTCCTGTTGCGTAGATCTGAAGCCAGCCAATCACACAGCGACACCACCAGGGTTGAAACATGGAAGTGATGGACTTGGTTTATTCTGACCAGCGAACATCTCAACGCATCACAGTTCAGATGGAACTTAGTTTGGATCCAGGAAGTCAAGTCCGAATTGATTAGCTGATGAATTAAAAATCTTTTGCAAATGACCGATGCAAATAAAAACACGCACAACAATGTACCATTATTTATTATTCTTGTGGTGAAACTGCGTTCTGTATTAGATCTAAAAGGTGTCTGGTCATGTGGCCAACCGTAAAACTCTTACTTGAGAAATTCTTTCATGTCTTTCAGTAGAAAAACTACAGACACTAAATGAGCCTCACTTCTGTTTTATTCAGTCTATAAAATAGGCTAATACTATGTCATTAAAACCAATTGTACAAAGAGCATGAAATAATTTTTCCAGACATATTACAAAATGTATTTTTCCCCTAAAGTTTGAAAAGTACAAACACCTTTTTACAAAACAGCAAAACTACATAGTATTGCACAATCTTGTCATTTATCTCCAAAGTATAAAGTTAGCAATCTCCATCTGCTGGACAAAAATAAGAAAGAATAAATTAAGACCTTGTCTTAAGCATCTTTTTTTTTTTTTTAAATTACAGCACATAAATAAGAATAAACTCTAGATAGATAAATTAGTCCTCAGTCAACAGTGATAGCTTTTTTTAAAACAAATTCTGAAGAAAAGACTCATTTATGTTTACTAATGCTTGGAAAAATAAAAGTGCATTTTGATAGTCAAACTGCCCTCGGAGGCTTTTAAAAAAGTTTTTTTTAGTTCTGAAACAGAAAATATATGTTATATAAACATTTAAAATATACAGGTGTTTTAAGTGCTGTGAAATCTGTACAAATGTACTGTATTCCTCATTTGGCACAACGAACTCATCACAGACAAACTTTGACCTCATTAACAACGAACGCGCTCACAGGAACAAAGCTGTATAGACAAGAACAACTACTCTCACAGGTAACACTCGACTTAATACACAGCAGATGTAGTTACTGCTTGTGACTTCGCTACCTGAGTCAGCTGAGAGGAGGCAGACACTGCAAAAGGCAGTGGTTGACAGCATGAAAGGAGAAATGGAGACAGACCATGGTGAAACTCCAGTCAGCTGTCGTTCGGCGTTGCCTTTCAGCGTCTAACAAAAATAACAGAAGCCGTCTGCCCTGTTTAATATGTATTACTATTAAAACTTTTCACTGTTCCTTCTTTCCATGGGACTTTGGAGTACATGATGGAATATGAAAACTTTGTTTCATTTCAGCAAAAATCTTGCAGCTCTTCAATGAGGCCTTTCCTTGTCGCCTATCCTTCAGTGTACTTATCGGTCTAAGCTACTGCTTCAGGTCAGGGCCATTAAAAGAGTGCTGATTTGAAACCGGTGTGCACCTTTTACATCAAGATATACTTCTGAAACCTAACTGCTCCAGAATTAGTGGTCCTCTTCTTGACTCGTCCATGCACGCATAAAGCTGTCTTTCTGAGGACCGTCTCGTCCTTTGTAATGGTAAAAAGAAATGTCTCCTTCCTCTTATCTACTTCTCGATAAGGCCTGCTTCTTTGATCTTGGTGTAGAAGAATTTCTCCAGTAAGTTGGCACACTTGTAGTACTCGCTTTCTGGGGGGTTGTATTCACGACAGTTGGTGAAGATGCGCTGCATGTCAGCCATGAACAACTTGCGGGTTGTATAGTACCTGCTCTTCAGACGCTCACTCATTGTCTTGAGGTCTGTGAGGAAAAATATATGAATTTGTGAATGTTAATTCAAAAAACTAAAAATAATGAGAAACTCTCCATGTTTTCACAAGTACATAAGAGTACTTACTACTAAACCCACAAAAGACAAACATCCTTGTTTTGATATGAATTGTACATCAGTTAAAAGTGAAGCCACCAGAATATGGTAAATGTGATGTTGTGGGCAGGTTTTTATTCCAGATGATCTGCACTGATATACAGACATACAGATGCTTTTTGACCAGACTAAGAAATACAGAGTAGGGCATGCCTGGGATGGACTACAGCACTTTCTTCTAGGGGGACATGTAAATACATACCCATGGGGAAGCGAATGACTTGGTAGTACCCAGGTGCCTCTGTTTTCTTCACAGGCTCCATGAAAGGCCAGGCGTTCTGATGACTCTGAGACATAAAGATCCATCTTGTTTAGAAAAGGTATGTGTGTGTGTTAAAGGTAGGCTGCATGTGTACATGTGTGTCCCTCACCTTCACATGTTGGAGGATGGTCTTCAGAGTGCTGTACAACTGATCTGGGTCCTTCAGTTCCTTCCTGACATACAATAAATACAGGATACAAAAACACATGATCACTGTAGTAGATCAATCAGTGGAGTTATAGTAAAGACAACAGGATTGAAATATTTGAAGTGCTGTTAGCCTGTCTGATATGTCCAGGATTCAGTGTGTATAATGTTATTAATAAGAGACACTTTTGGGTCCTTTCATTTTATCTGCAAATTATTCTACTGATTTAATGAGAAAGTGCAGACAAGGTCCGAGTTTTGGTCTCTAGTCATGGTTGTACCATTGCTGACCTGATCTAATTGCATTCCTGTCTCAACTTTTCAAATTAGAAATCTTGCTTCTTGCCAACATGAGGAAAACATTAGCCAAGTCATTTGGCGAAGCAATACAAAGGCACTGTGCTAAATTCAAATGTCTGACTGTAGGATCACTTACCCTTTACCTACAGGTTTCCAGCCAGTTTCACCTGTAAATATAATGAAATCAAGTTCAGTCCCAAATATAATACAATGTTTTGAAAACTTCTTTAAACGACATTCTGTATGTATAGCAGCAGCATAGATCCGTAATAAGAGTCCAGGTGCTAAACTGGCCTGCCTGCAGTCCAGACCTGTCACCTACTGAAAATATTTGGAAGATTATAAAGTGAAAAATACAACAAAAGGGGCCTTGAACTGTTGAACAGCTAAAATTCTAGAATCAAGCAAGAGTGGGAAAATATAATACCATGCTTTCTAAACTGAAGCAACTGGTCTCCTCGGTTCATAAATGCTCATACTGTTGTTCAAAGAAGAGGTGTTGCTGGCATCAAATTTAAAATTAGTATATATTTTTCAAAAAACAATGAAAAATCTCACTTTCAATGTGTGATATGTTGTCTTTCTACCGTTTTCTCTTAAATTAGCAAAATATGCTATTCAGTTTTTATTTGCATTTTACACAACATCCCAACTTTTTTGGAAACCAGGCTGTAATAAGATTGTGGGAAAAATGTTAAATACTGTAGTACACTGCTGTGAATTCAGCCGCGTACATAACATACGTATGCCTGGAATGCTTTCAATGGGAATCTGCCGAACTCCTTCCTTAAAACAGGAAAGTCCTGGATAGACCTTTCTGATCTGAGCCTGCTTCCTCTCAATCAACTTCTTGATGATCTGAGAAAGACAGATGAGAATGAAAGGATAGTGAGTGCAGGGAACATTTAAACTCGCAAGTTTTCATTTTCAAATCAAACACTCACACACCTCTTTTTGCTTCTTGATGATAACAGAGAACTCGGTGTAGGGGATGCTGGGGTTGAGTTCGCAGCCCATGAGGGTGGCTCCCTCATAGTCCTTGATGTAGCCCACATACTTGGCCTTGGGAACTTTGATGTCCTTTGAGAAACCCTGAGAAGGAAGTGGAGACATCGGTTTTCTTTCAGTACAAAAAGGCCCATGTAACCATTTATAAGATTTTCAGGACCATGTAAAAAAGAAAAGACCTGCGCAAATGCTGCCAAGTGGCTGCAATTGTACTTATTTCTAAAGTTTGATGTGATATAAATGCACATCAGTAACGTAAAAGGGCAGAATGCAGCATTTTAAAGGCAACCAAAGTGCTATAAACATGCACAATTTCCTTAAATGCATTTTACCTGTTTCTTGAAGTAGCCAATGGCGTACTCATCAGCGTAAGTGAGAAAGTTCAGGATTTCATGCTTAATGTGATATTCCTTCAGGTGGTTCATCAAATGGGTCCCATATCCCTACCATGACACAACCAACATAGGTAAAGGTACTGTAAAAACTGACCAGCCAGAGAATGAACTTTTGATGACACACCAAGTTGAGGAGCAGGAAGCGCACCCACCTTGACTTGTTCGTTGGAGGTGACAGCACAGAAGACGATCTCTGTAAAACCCTGTGATGGAAACATCCGGAAGCAGATCCCTCCAATGACACGACCGTCTTTGATCAGTGACAGCGTTTTATGCTTCCTGTTAAAAAAGGAGAATAGTCAAGAATACGCCTCTCATCTCTAAACATGATACGTGATTTTAAAGTATTGTTACACTCACGGATCAAATACCAGCCGTGTGATGTACTCCTTTGGCATGCGGGGAAGCTGGTGGGAGAACACGTTCTGAAGACCAACGAGCCACATCAGGATCCTCTTATTGGGCTTATGGTTTAGGGAGTTACCAATGACGTGGAATTCAATCACCCCCCTGCGCTCCTCTAGACGAGCAGCTTCATCACGTGCAGAGTGGGCTGACAGCAGACTGGTCTGCACAGGAAGGAAGGTATAAAACCATGTTTCACCAGTACCCAATGGCACCTCATCCATAAATGCATGGCCTCCCCACCTTATATTTTTTCAGGCGCCACTGTCAGCACCCTTGCAAAAAGCAGCTTTTTAGAGTGTTGATCTACATTATCTTGACTGTCAGAGTACCGGTATTTAAAAGGCAGTGACGTCAACAGATCAGACTGTCAAATGCAGTATTCTGGTATAAAACATGCAGACAGTGAGTGTAAATTCATAAATTAACTGTTTTCTTCATTCTTTCCTTTAATAAATTAGTTCTTTACTAAATTAAAAAAACACTGCTTTCTCTTTAAGCTCAATTTGAGGGAAACCCCTGCAGAAAAACAATACAAGCATACTAATGACATTTTAAAAGGAAGCACAAAGTCTACTGGTTTTGAAAATAATATCAACCAGATGTTAAGTGAATGTGATTTCTTTATCACTGAAAGCTACCTGTATGTCAGTGGGACAACAATTATATTATTTCTTTGATGCTTTCTACCCTTTCTGGGTTACCTCAGGAATGGCAGCAGGGTCTGTGATCGTTGCCATGACTTCATTGATGAGGTCCATGGGGATGTCACCCACCACCCTGGGTCTCTTGTTTTCCTCATGGGGAAGGGGATCTGAGGGTTTACGCTTCTCTCCAACTATGAGATTTAATGGACAGAGGGGAAGGTAGTCTTCATTGTGACATGTCTCTTTTACACCTTCTCACCAGCTGAGCAGTGTTTTTAAATCCAAACAAGCAGTCATGGAGCATTATACTATACCGTAAGTCACCTTCATTTCCAGTTGTTACCTTTGCATGAAAACCTGACTTACTTTCAGTGTGTTTGGAGCAGCTCTTGGGTGTGTTTTACCTCAATACAGCTTTAAGGCCAATACTCAATTTGTGAGGAAATGTGATAGTTGCACTTTTGGAGATTCCATATCAAAACAAGATTTCTTTGAAGCAAAAGAATTTTTGTTTTAACACAGTCAGTTGGACACAATGAATCTTTGCTTGCTTCTGAGGATCATGTGAATATACCACAAGCAAACTTTATCCTGGTGTTGTTTACTGTCAGATGTTATGTAATGACATGGCATCCTTGTAACCTTATGAGTAATTAAATGTTGGACAGTAATACCTGAATTTGGCTCGAGCACAGAAGCTATTTTCCTTGCGGGACTGACACTGCCACAGGTGGATGGGTCCGCTGACACCGGACTAGTGCTGTGGTACAATGGTCTGGCCACAGGGGCTGCACTGATAACTGCACAGTGACAGACAGGACAATAATACTACATGAACTACATCATAGTTTGTTTTTTTTTTTCATTCATTTTCTACCGTTTGTTCCCTGAGCGGGGTCACGGGGGGGGCCGGAGCCAATCCCGGCCGGCAATCGGGCGAAGGCGGGGTACACCCTGGACAGGTCGCCAATCCATCGCAGGGCTATCATAGTTTTTTGTAACCTGTATTACACTGTCTACGGAAGGGTTCAAAGGAGTCTCATTGAAGGGTGTGTCTTGAAGGGCGTGTGTTACCTGTGTGGATGGGAACCTGCCCTCCTGACGCTACTGCCAAGAAATCTTGGCTCCAGATCGGAGAACTGTGGCTGTACACCTCCTCCTCCAGCATTGACAAGAATCTAAGTCAAAGAAAACATGACAGCCGCAACTTTACTAAACTAAACAAAACAAAGGTTGTCAAGTATGCACATGCAGTTACTCTCTCATCAGCAGCCTCCCATACCAACTTTCCACACAGTTACAAGCACTGAGCTTAGGAGGTTCGCTCCAGCCGGTCCTTGATAAATCACCGATCTGACATGCACAATTTTGCCCACAAAATAATAAACAAATGCAGCTTTTGAGCCATGAAATATAAAAAAATAACGTCCCAGTGATGTTACAGGCATGACAGCAGGTGAAGTCAGTGTGTGTGCTGCTGTCATTCATGGCTGCAAGTGCCACTGTGTGTGGTGTGCGGCTAATTACAATGTTAGTCTAAAATACTTTATCAGCTTGTGGTATAATTCTCTATCCACAATCACAGAGTTTATGTATATTTGGCTTTCTTACTTGGGAAAGTGTGTGAGAATGAGTGTGCGTTTTTCAGGCGGTAGCTTGTCCTTTTCTTGTCTGGCCTGCTCCAGCAGTTGTTTCCTCATCACAGTGAACACCGAACGCAACAGTGTCCGGCCAAAGATCTGAGTAGTCTCGTACCGGGGAAGACTGTCACAGAACTGGGGCACATTGCAGTAGCAAAGCCATCTATAATGAGCACATCATAGAAATAACAGTTTAAACAACTTGTAAAGTGGTGTAATGCATGTTAACAGGATATCTGTTCATGCTGCTACCTGGTATAGTTGGCTTTGTATCCTGCTGCATCATCATTGGGCACCCTCTGGCGTCTCTGGGAGGGCGTCTCCAGCTGCCAGTAATTGATCTGGTTGAGAAACATCTTAGCGAGCTCCATGATTGTTTGACGTTCCTTTGATGGCAGGTGGCTGAATTTATACTGGACGAAATTGTTCACTCCCTGTTGGGGAAACACAGAGACAGAGAAAATAATTAAAAATGTGGACACACCAAAGCATTATTTCATTGTGGTTTGCGGATGTGTTGGTTTGCATGGCTTTTTTCTTTTAATGTATGTGGAAATATCAGACAGCATGGTGGTGCAGTGGTTAGCGTTGTCACCTGGTGATCCTCTACAGGATCAGCAGTATCGATGGATGGTTGTAATTACCTGCTCAATGCTGGGTTTTTCAAATGGAGGACTCTCCTGTGCTTCTAACATAGGTTTACCCATCTGTAGGATGGATTTCCTCAGTAGCTAAAAGAACAAACGGATCGTGTATGTTTACTTGTGCACCATGCAGGTCAGAACATCCCGTGTTTGTATATTTTGAATGTAAAAGCAGAGGCTTACTTTGAAGAGGGAAAAGTAGACCTGTTTAGTGTCGGCGTCCTCCTCTTTGTGAACACACGTGTAGAGATACTCCACATCCAAGACAATACCTAAAAGTCTGTTCATTTCCTCTTCTGAAACATTTTCTAGATGTGTCACATGATCACCTGGGAGAAAGAGAAGCAATTTGTTATTACTGTAATGCCGTATTGTAATTTACTCATCCATAGGCAGAGCTTCAAATGCCTCTACCTCTACATATCATAGCAATATTTTCTTCTGTATTATCTTTCCTAGACATTCTGACATACCCAAAGTGTGGGAGCAGCTGCGGCAGGGCTCCTGCAGGTTGACTGTGTTGGACTGCTGGTCAGTTCGAGGGGGTGTAGGAGGAGGGTTCTGACTCTTCCAGCCATTACACTTACAGGCTCCCTCAGCCTGGGAAAGCAATTTAAAAGCGGGACAAGCAAAAAACAACAACAATCATAAATATTTAAAAGTTTTCCATTAGTAAAGCTGGTTAGGAGTATTCATTACTGACAGGCAAAGTTAGTGTTATGACTCACTGACCACATCAGTGCCTAAAAGTAAACAGTACACTACTGGTATTAAAGAATTTTTAAAAAGTAGACTATCACAGTTTTATAACTGGATTATAGGAGCATGCATACATTTCAAAACTCTGGTTTATAGAGATTTGTTATGACTAACCCTCTACAGTATGAGGAGGAGGGGTGAGGAGGCCGGTCACCATAAGCTGGCGGCGCTGCATTGAGCATGCGCCTTGAAGCAACAACATCCTCCGCCCCTCCAGCAGCTGTCACTCTGTCAAAACAAAGACCCCGTCCCTCTCCGAGGATCAGACACAGCACAAACCACATCAGTCCTCTCTATTTACCAGTGTACGCAGATAGACGTGGTGGGGACACTGTGAAATTTCTTGTGGAAAGCATAAGACCGCGCACGAACACACACTTTGGGATGCATCAGCGCCAAGCCAATGTTTACGTTCACCAACCCCCCACCTTGAAAGATAGTGACAGTGTAAAACCAAGGTGGACAGTTTGCAGCTGGAAGATCTTGGCTTAACGTCCTACAGTACGTTAAAAATAACTCTTTTCCAATAACGTGCATGCAAAATAAAAAATGAAGTGCGGCAATGGCTTCCTTTGCTGCGTTTGCATTTTGAAAACTATTGCAACCTTGCCCAGGAAATATGCTTGTTCAAGCATAAACCTTCAAACCACTGTGTTCAAGAAGCCAGCTATCTGCAAATATTGCGTACTTTGCATGATGAATACACGCCGAGTTTTTCCAGTTTCTTCGGCCGAGGAGAGCAGCGGAGTTGCGCCTTCTTCACAGCGATACGTGCGGATCCTCCAGCGGCGCCAGAACCCTCCGTACCCCCGGCTCCAGGAGCGGCCGGAACCAAGCCCGCAGCCCCGATTGCCGGGGAACCTTGCTGAATCCCAGCACTGTCGGCCATGATACGCACCGAACCCTGACGGGACCCCAGGCCCGTGAAATGTTCGCTCTGCTGTCAGCGCTATTCCTCAAGCGGAGGATCAGACATGGCGCTCATCCTTATTTTCAATTTCTCACTGTAAACCCATTTTCCTCCGCTAGGGGACCCAAAGGGGATAAGCCAATTCCACTACTATTCAGGGAGGTCACAAATTGCAACCATCTGTAGCACAACTTCAAGGTCAAATGGAATGGAAAAGGGTTGCTTCCAGTGCGGAGGCGTATCCGAGCGCAGTTTCTTCCAACACAGAGGAATTATTGGAATCAATACCAAAGACCAATAAGTTACAGACTATTAAAACTGATGCTACATTTTAAAAATTCAACATATTTATTTATAAGGGAATAATTGGTTGAGAAAACTAAAGGAGGGCAGACATATCATCAAATTTAAACAGAAAATTTGCCAGGTTAAAAGCCAAGAAAATATAAAACTTATCAATGTCATCATGATGAGCAGGAGTGGCCCACAGAAAACCAAACACTTTCTGTATTGAGAAATGTCACCAACTCAGCGCACACATACACAGGCACAACCTGCTTACAATAATAAATGATCAAATTTATTTCATTATTTGGTCATTACATAACAGTAATGTAAAATACTTGCATTTAATTGATTTCAGCTGCAATTATGTGCTCACAGCAAAAAAAAGTGTTAATTCATTTATTCATGAATCACACTGTCCCTACAATACCATTACAATGTTGCTGAGACATTACGGAGGGGCAGACAGTGTCCGTTGTCCTCTGAAGCTTTTACAACCAGCCTCCTGAATTTAGAGGGAGGAGTACTGGACAAGACATCATAGCTTGATACCGGTTTAAAAAAAAAAAAGAAGAAAAAAGTCAAATGCAAGAAAGAGATAATGTTAAAAAGTATAAACCAAAATTCTTGTATTTTTTTTCTTTTGAGAAAACGGTACAAGACAGACAAAATAAATGCCAATACATTTTTTTGTTAATAACACTACATACATTTATAAAGACCACCACTGATTATAATTTAACCATTTGTGTGAAAAAGGAACAGCAACAAAACTCCAAACCCAGATTGTAGCTGTTTTTCTGCTAACTGTACAGTTTTTTAATGATTATCTAGACAAATCT